TCCTCGTCCTCTTCCTCGTCCTCTTCCTCGTCCTCTTCCTCGTCCTCCTCCTCGGCCTCCTCCTCCTCTTCCTCGTCCGCTTCCTCTTCCTCTTCCTTTTCCTTTTCCTTTTTTCTTCTTATGTTTACTATGTAGTTTTTCTTCTTCTGTTTTTTTCTTCTTCGTGTTTCCATTGCACCCTGTTTGGTGCAATAGAACTGACTCAATCAATGCCTGTCCTCTGGATCGACCATGTCTAGGGACAGGCTCAGCACCTGCAAGTACCCGCAGCTGTGTTTATCAAGAAATACCCTAGGCTTAAACAGGTGCACCGCTCAGGCCGATCAGTAAAGTGACACGGGAGTCAGCTCAGGTGTTCCATCCAATGCGGGTCCAATGCTGGTTCCTGCAGTTTACTTGGTCAAATATGTGTAAACAAGAAGAACCGAGCAACGCAGAAATGCCAAAAAGAAAACCCTCTCAAAAAATTAAGCGCGGGCCACCTTCGCCCACACGGACTTCACCACACCGCGCACGCCAGTCTCCTCCTGGAGGCAGAGACTGCCTTCTTAAAATGTTTGTCAGTGCAATTTTTTTTAAATTTTAAGCACCGTGTAATTTGTGTTTACGACCCTTGAAACACCTTCTATTTTTCGAACGGAATTGCCTGCGTTACAAACATAATCTCGTGGCTGCTTCTACAAAATTGCAAGGAGCGTCATGACTTAAAGCTTGGACCAGCAACAAACCCTGCATGTGAAAACATGTGAAATATAAACCGCCCGATGACAAAAACAACAATGATCGAAGGCTGAGACTTATACTGCCCTGCCTTCTCTACGTTTCTGCTACTGTGAGCGGCTGGAAAGTGCTGTGTGTGTGCTTGACCAAATCTCAGCACAATTCTTGTAGAAATGTTTGCGAGAAGGAATTGCAAAATACCCTGAACCAACAAATTAAACAGACACTTATAAACTCTATGTAGGATTTTTGGTGTGACAATACAACTGGTGTTATCACTATATTTGTCTGTTGCCTGCTGTCGTGTTTGCCCTTGTGTATGGTCACGTGTTGCGTGTTGTGGTTATGTCTGGTGTTGTCACTCTGTGTATATGTGTGTGTATGTGTCATTGTGCCATGTGTGCGCGGAACAAGATTCTTTCATGAAGAGGCTTTGGGACGCAATGCCGTGTCAGAAACACTGCCTTTTACGCGCTTGGGCCTGATTTGATGTGACTTGACATGTCCGGATATTGGGAGTCGTCATTGGTCTGTGCCCATTGTGGAATTGCTCCATTTTGGAATGTGGCTCACGGCGAAGCTTATGCTCATATCTAGCTGCTTAGCTCTTGGACAAGCATTAGAAGCTGCAGTTTTTGTTGCAGCCAGTAATCACAACGCGTACTGTCGCGTAGGCATCACTTATCTCTGGTGATGGTGTGTGATCTGTCTGATTTGTTGTGATCAGTCTCACGCGATCAGATTGGGTAGTTGGAGTAACCTGAGGTTTTGCAGATCGGGTAATGCCCGGTAAGGCGACAAGTCTCGCAGTAGCTGCGACCCGGAAAAGTCCGGTGTGCGACCGTGTTGTGTCTCGCTTTGCTCCGACCGAATGTGTGCAAAGAAATGAAGAAAGAAGAGTCAAATGAGTCAAAAACCTTGCTTTCTAAAGACCATCAGATCCGATCGCTTTCACCCAGACAAGAAGTCTCAACCTTTGATGGTGTACTGGTTGAATGAAACTTACGTCCGGCTTCGCTAGGCTCCCACACCAACAAACTGGGCTGTCGGGGGAGTATCGGCTGGGCAGCTTGTTGTGCTTCCTGCACGCCCCGAGTCGTTTGTCTACCGAGCAAATCGAAGTCCAGTCACCAGAGTTTTGCACGGCTTATTGCACAGCTGGATTGAAAAAATGAACATAGAAAAAGTAAAAACTAAGAACAAAGTCCAAAATCAAACTCTCTGTTCGTTCATGTTCAAGTGTAGCAACATCCTACACTTTGCTTCTCATCTGCACAAGGGTTTCCAATGTCCAATTCTTCCAGCCATCAACCCATGTGGCCTTGAGTGTCTTTAAGTCAGCCATCTCTGCCAACCTGGCAAGGTGTCTCACAAGTTCTTTCTCAGACATGAAAAGGCCTTTCCCAAGCCCTCTGAAAATACAAAAAGGCGACATGTTGGACGTGCAAGATGGAGGATGCTTTGGTGTTCTCGTTGCCTCCTTCGGTTGAGCTTCCGAGATTCGCCGCCCATAAAGCAATCGCTTGGTAAAGGCCGAAAGTAGCTGGGCCTTGGCCATGGTGCGTGGCATCGAAAAGGAAGAATGCTTCTAAGAGGTCCTTTTGCTGCCATTTCTTGTGCTTTTTCCAGAGTTGATGACCTGCTGCTGATATTTGCAGTAGAAGCAAGTCGAGTTGCTCGCTAGGGGCTCTGCTACGCTTTCGGTTGAACGGCTTTTGCTGACCCCACCCATGATTTGAAATCAAAAAAGAAGCAGAACAAGGAAAAGAAGTAAGGTTGACACGAAGGAGGAATTGCTGGATACTTCGGCAAGAGGCAACGGCACAATAGGAGTAGGCAAATGCGGAAAAGAATGAATCAAACTGGAACTTCACCAAAGATTGACCTCTTCGAACTTTCTCTTGAGCTGTTGGTGTAGCCTACCCAAACAGTTTTAGTTTCATTGAAAACATCCTGTGCAGGGAACTGCACTTACAAAATGTCAAGCGAATCCCATCGAGAAGCTACCAAAACTGAGCACCTCACATCATCCAACGTGGAATTTCTTTCACCGCCTGGCCGGTACAATAGTGGTTTGGGAGACGTTCACGTCATTAATTTCATTTTGGGAGACGTGCTTCAAGATCATCGTGCTTCATCTTCCACTTCCTGAAACAGGTTCGCGTCCGCCTCTTGTGTCTATCAGCCCTGCCTCCTTCTTGATGCGCTGTATCAAATCCTCATAAAGCACTTCATCCTGCGTTTTGGCCGTGTAGAGTATATGTATCAAAAGCTTGGTCAAGGTCAAGGTGGTCTCTACAACAGTGACGAGAAAGGCCTGGCCCCCATCCAATGATCCTCCCAAAAAATATGGTTAAAGCCAAGCTCTTGTCGGAGCACGTTGCACGAACACTGCCCATGTTCCAAGACTGTAAAGACTATATACAGAGGAATACATGCTGAGAACCATCACTCACATATCAAGTAGCCATGTGTCGAGAACGGGCTTTTGAGGGACATGCTCATTACAGACTTTGACGGGCTTCTATTCGCAAAGTGGACATGCACAAACAAAACATAAATAAAGTATAAAGAATGATCAAACGAGGAGAAGAACGTACTCGCCTGGGGCTTCACGAAGCAGAGGAGGCTGTCGACGGATGTTGGTGTCTGCACAAAGCTACATCTACAAGAAAGCAAACATGAAAACAAAAGTATCAAACAATAGCACGGATTATTAAAATGCTCCCTCTCTGTCGCTCTCCCCTCCTTTCTTTGTTTTCGTGGTGTCATGAGAATCCTCAACATGTGCGGCTATCTTGTGACTCATCAATAGAGGCAGTGACATGAAGGAACAAAAGGTGTAATTAGGTGGATTGTGCCTTGCATCTTCTTCAACCCTCTGTTGCAAGGCAAACTGTGTATATAACTCCTCTCGCCATCCTGTGACCTGCCTCATAGACCGGCACAACTGCACATAAAGCCACGCCCGAGATCTGCGCGATGGCGCCCTCCACCACTGGAAGACCAACCTGACCAGAACCGTTCTCAAACCTGTCAAGGAGGCCTTTCTATCCCAAGTTCTGGACCCTCAATCTAGGTAATAGCTAAATTGTCAAACGGCTGTGGCTTCACCAATGTGTCAAAAGCCTTGGCAAATGCTCCTTCCCCTCACTCGTGGTAGCAAGAGTAGTTGGAAGCCGCCTTGAATCCACGGATCTTCACGGTGCTGTCGATTCGCCCACGGATTTCCAAGACAGGCGGCTGGCTGACAAATCGGGCAGCATCTCCTGCGGACAAAGGAATTTCGCTCCTTTTTGTTCCTCCCTCCCTCTCTATCATAGACTGCTATATTCATGCACTTATATCTATATATAGATAAGTTTGAACTCTCTCTTCTCCCCTCTTCTCTTCATTTCTCCGATACCTCTTTACAGCCCCCCTTCCCTCTCTCTCTCTCTCTCTCGGTCTCTGTTTCTGTATCTCATTGGTTCCTTCTTTCTTTCTTTGTTTCTCTTTTTCTTATTTTCTTGTTGTCTTTCTTTCTTTATGTCTTTCTTTATTTCTTTATATATTTCTTTATTTATTCATTTCGTTCTTTATTTCTTTCTTTATTTCTTTCTTTCTTTCTTTCTTTCTTTCTGTCTGTCTTTCTTTCTTTCTTTCTTTCTTTCTTTCTTTTTTTCTCTCTCTCTCTCTCTCTCTCTCGCTCTCTCTCTGTCTCTGTCTCTCTCTCTCTCTCTCTGTGTCCGTCTCTGTCTCTGTCTCTACCTCTGTCTCTCTGTCGGTCTATCGGCAGTCCGTCCGTGCGCTGTCCGTCTGTCCGTCCCTCGTCTGTCCATGTCTATCCTTTTCAACTTAGCTCAACCCGGGTCTGAATGTGTGGCATCGCTGCCTGACTGGTTCTTGTGATGCGACCTAAGCTCTCATTGCCTCCTTCCGATCCGATGCGCCAATGGGCCCGGATTTTCATTCCGAGGCAGTTGAAGCTGCTTGGCACACTGATCTAGTTGTATCGTTAAGTCCCTGGCGTTGCCATTGGCCTATCACAAGAGGAAAAGAGGTCTGTCCGTCCGTCTGTTCGTCTCTGTCTGGCTATCTGTCTGCCTGTCGGTCAGTCAGTCACACACGGTCGGTCAGTCAGTCAGTCAGTCAGTCAGTCAGTCAGGCAGGCAGGCAGTCAGTCAGTCAGTCAGTCTGTCTGTCTGTCCGTCGGTCTGTCTGTCTGTCTCTCTCTCTCTCTCCATCCCTCACACTGGGAGATCCTGTCCTGTCTTGTACCATTTCCACTTTCCTTGCGACAGAGCCACCTGGAAACTATACGAAAGCATACTCAACCATATGATCAGCGTGTCTCTCCAGTGCAACGGAATCAATTTCTTACGAATCTGATTGACTGGCAAGAACTGTTGTTCGCTGCAAAACAAAAGAACGAAGGCTATCGGAATCGAGTGAAGATTGAACTCAGGACCAGCACCATTTCTGAATTCACGCCATCGGAGAATTTGGCAGCAGTGATGTCGCTGTGCCCGTAGTAGCCGTAGGACAGAACAGGCTGGCAGAGAGACACAGGATATCATAGGATCCATAAAGTCACAAATCACCCAAGCAGGAAACACCAGCAATGTATCAGCGTGGCCGAGCTAGCTTTACAAAAAGGAATAAAATATATATCTCATTCAAATATATTTATCTCTCTGGCCCCACTAACGTTTGTTTAAAGATCGTAGCACCAAATAGATATTCTGCTGCTCCTCGAATAAGCTCAATCTACATTCTGGGATTCTGGGTACAGTACTCTCTTTCAGCACCCCGCCCCTCCAACATAGAGCTCACCAACAAGCCCTTGTGGAACCAGCTTCCTCAAAGTGAAAGCCAGTTCAAAATAAGAGTTTCCCTATTCACTATATTCGCTATTGAGTCGGTATTGTCTGTGTCAAATCCGTGTACAATCAAAACAATTAAAAGGCCTTGCAGCACTGCAAAACCCCGTATCATTTTAGGAGCTAACAAAACACAAAGAAAGCGATTGTCTGAACAATTCTCTATTTTTGCACGCTCCAAACTATGTCTGAGGTTGTGTCTTTGTGTCTGGATCAACAATGCAAGCAGTGATGCCCACTGCAATCTCTTGGCAGGCCGCGGCGAATACCTGGCGAAGGAGCCCCCCCACTAAATAGTATGATTCAAGATTCCTCATCAAATGATTTCAGTTCTGCACTGCAGAAGGGGCCAATTCGAGTTTCTTTGTACTGTACTTGTTCTTGTTGAAAAATAGTCTTGATGATAGACAAATGACTTATAGCTGAAAATTATCGATGTCTGCCTGACTGGGCTCGTAGCGCCCTGCGGGAGCCACCTGGGCATAACCTCAAAGTATCACAGTTGGCTCACACAAGTGCTGCGCGTGGCATGGCATGGATGGACTGCATACCAGAAAGTAAAGGTAGTTCGCCAAATTTCTTATATCATATCTGATGAACAACGTCCTCGTCCTCAAACCCTTGCCCTGCCCCTTGGAGACCAGACCAATGTCTCCGCTTTCCCAGGTGGAATAATCATTGATGAGCCTGCACCTTGCACTGTCACCGTGCCGAAGGATGGGCCCTGCGATTCTGGAAGCTCTCCCCCAAGCAGTCCGCACATTCTGCATAGCTCATGTGAGGAAGTCCAAAGCATTGAAGTCGCGGAGTGAGCACCAAATCAGTGGGCGACAGCTAGCAGCTTGGAGCAGGCATCAATGGAAACAAAAAGGAAGATTTCTGATTGCTAGGCTAGGCAAGAAGTATATACATTAACAGTGTTTGTTCTCCCTTGCTCCGTTGATGTGACAAATCGAGAAGGCTTCGGACTCCGTTTGTCTGCTCAACAGGAGGATCACTTCCCTTCCGTCCAACCCATCTCTCCCATTGTACCCCACCTTGGAAGTATTGACCTGAAGCTGCGAACCTCAAAGTCAACTTAGGTCGATTGTTGGGCCTTTCACATGGAGTCCAAGCGGGCTTGCTTGGAAAGCTGGAACAGCATGGGGCGCGTTTATACTAGTTTCATGCCATGCTATCTAGCCCATGGCAAATCAGGTTGATCATCTTTGGAGGAGATTCTCTGCATTGGCTCAGCTGCAGCATAAATGTTGCCTTTCATCCACAACCGTCCCAAGCAGGAAGCCTCTTAGAACAAAGTTCAAGAGAACTTCCACAAAGTTCAAGAGAACTTCCATAGCACAAACAATATATCAAATACTATAGATTTCTAGTATCTAGTATCAAAGCCAAGAAGGATTGCCTGGGAGATGGCGGAAACGAAAGATTCGCTGTATCACATCCTTGTGGGGCCTTTTCGAGCTAGTTCTAGCATTGCTACTGTTCAGGATGTGGCAATCCATGCATACTCTGCGGTGATTCCTAGTGATCTGATCTAGGGAGTCGATGTCTGCTTCGTTAGCAAATTTTGCTGCTTGACTTGCTTCCAACGAAATGTGTTGCCGCCATCATCAACATGTTTAGCCCTCTCTTCTCCATTGAAATTGCTTGGGATTGGCCTCTGTTGAATGTCCGATGAACTGACAAGTTCAATCCCCAGCTGTCGCTTTGATACTCCTTTGACTCATGCAGCAAACACTCTTTTCTGAGAAGGGCACTACTTGCATTGGCAGGACCTGGCACTCATACAAAGAAATGAATATTGCGAAGCATCTTCAAATCTCGAAATGAATTCTTAAAGCAGAAAATGCCTATTTAGGCAGCGGAAGATCGCAGCCAAAGTAGAAACAAATGCTCAGGTTCTGTTCCAAAGGTCAAGAGTCACAAAAGAATAGCCCTCGCCTCACCACACATCAACCAAGCGCACATGTGATGAAGTTTGGACAACTCCTGCAAGCACATTGTCAACGTCTTTATGTCCCTCAGCGTTTCTTGGAAGCAAAACCCCTTCTGCGTCCTTGTGGCAAGAATCCATGATGGTGGCCTCAGTCTGGTGAAGGGCTTGTTGTAAGTAATGCAATGGCCTCCACCCTAGTAACAATGGCCTCCAACCTAATAGCGATGGCCCCCAACCGACTAGCCATGGCCTCCACCCTAGTAGCGATGGCCTCCAACCTAATAGCGATGGCTTCCAACCTAATAGCAATGGCCTCCACCCTAGTAGCAATGGTCTCCCACCTAATAGCGATGGCCTCCAACCGACTAGCGATGCCCTAGTAGCGATGGCGTCCAACCTACTAGCAATGGCTTCCAACCTAATAGCAATGGCCTCCACCCTAGTAGCAATGGCCTCCAACCTAATAGCGATGGCCTCCAACCGACTAGCGATGGCCTCCACCCTAGTAGCGATGGCCTCCAACCTAATTGCAATGTTTAAAGTTACTCAATCTCACTTTTCTTCCAGCTCAAGGACACGCCGATCACAACCAGAATGAATCTCTGTCTTACAAACAATGCTGGCTCCAGGACTCCAGGCGCAAGATGCATTAGAATTACTGTAGAAGAAAATGCAGGATTGCTTCATGGGACGCCGTGGTCCCTGCGTTTTTTTTCCGTGGTGTCACTATGTCTCTGTGCATTTCTTGACGTGTTAAGGACAAAGTCCATGTATGAGTTTGTGCCTTTTCTACAGCCTGACAGATCTAGAGGGACATTGTAGAAGAGAAGTGTTTTTGAAAATCAATTTACTCCTGGGTTGTGTGAATATGTTTCTTAAAGCCCTCAGCTTTGCAAAGAGTCTTCTTTCTTGCAAAAAGTGTTCTTCAAGTAAGGCCTTCATCGTTGCAAAGGTATTGTTGTTCAGTATTCTTGTCTGCAGAAGTTTTTCATGTAATGCGGCATGCAACATGTGAGACATTTTGTCGGTTGCATTTGTCAATCTTCAATGCAATTTTGCCTTGGTGAATGCCATTTTGGCACGGAGACAAATTTTCAAGCAAAAACATGTACGGACGTGCTTCAAACTCAACTGCTTCCAACAAAAAAAAAACCTGCCCGCATTGAAGCAAAATCAGTTCTCAAGATTTAAATACAATCATTTGGATAATGTTGTGTTATAAAGGTGCCTACTCCTCCATATTCAGAAAAATAGGCAAAAAAAACAAAAACAAAACGAAAAGTATACAACAAAAAAAAATGTCTCATAGGTTCGCTCCTTCATGTGATGTTCAAGAGTAACGCCTTCAGCTTTGCAAAAGTCTTTATGCTTCCAGAAAAATGTTAGTAGGTTACTCTGCAAATGCCCATCCCGAAGGAAAGAGACAAAAATCACGCACCTCACGAAACGCCGCCCTCGAGGGCATTTTTCTTCCCATTCGGACGGTTGCAAATGGTTGCGAACACACTTCGCTACGTATTCGAGAAAAAGAAAAGTTTGGACCCATGGAAAGGTTCTGAGCAGAAGCTACTGTAGTGTTGTTTGTTGTCTTTGGAAGTTTCTTTGTTGTTTTTTCGTTTGGTTTGATCAAATATCATTGCAACTGAAATGTCTTTTTTGATCAGATGCTATTGGAGATGCTTCAGATGTAGATTTGTGGCTCTCATTGAAACACTGCAAAAACTCAGGCCCCATTACCCCTCTTCTTGAAAGAATAAGAATGTCAAAATTTATCAGGAAACTTTGAGGGAAACCGAGCCGACTAACTCACTTGCAGGCAGAACCAAATTCTGCAGGTTTCTTAGGTTTCTTCACACTTGCATGCGACATTGACAAATCACATCTCCTGAGATTCCAGACCAAAAGTGAAGGTGTCGTCAAGGTACGGCTGCATTGGTGCTTCTCCAGGAACTTCACGAAAATATGAGGATCCAAGGTTGCCTTTCCGCACTTCTGCTGCAGCAGGTTCTGGTTGCTTTCATGTTCAGACAACGAAAGTTTGAAAAGTAAACTGCTGTATGTTGCGTTGCTAGTTACAACCCAACAAGAAAACATGAACCGTGTTCAATTCCTCTTGTCCCTCTCCTCATCTGGCAAGATGAACGCCGTGTGGCCAAGCAGTGGAGACCTGGCCCCAATGCAGGGCATCAAGAATACCTCTGAACTCTTTGCAAAGGAAGTTGGAAAAATGTAGCTTTATTGATGGTTGGATAGCAAAGTGTTTGCAAAGCGTAGTAGAATCTCTTGGTGTGAAAAAGGTCTGATGCTTCCCAGGCTTCCTAGATCAACTTCCTAGCCAAAACTGAGAAGGTTTTTTTTGTTTTATATTCTGCAAACTGTCACAAGCCTCAAGACCTCCCACACAAACATGACATTGTAGGCCTGGCAGTGAAGTGTGAGCTAGTTCGCAAACCCTAGAGTAGATTGGCAAGAGGAAAAACGTCGTGTCAAAAAGCCATCTCTGCCCTAAGCTTCAAGAGGTTCGGTAGAACCTACTTGAATCCAAAACCCTGTTCGTGAGGCTCTGCAACAACCCACATAGAAAGCTTCAACATGGAGGAATCATCCTGCTCTTGCTTTGACACCAAAGACCAAAGGTCAAAGCAGCATTCATTGAACAAGCCTTTGTTCTGCACGTGGCTCTTTGCGCATGCCTCTCTGCAGTCATTGCTCTGGTAAGGGAACGCCCCAGCCTGTTCGGCAAATGGACCATGTAGGGTCAACCGAAGCTGTGCGTGCTCTTTCAAACAGACCACTCTAGGTTTTGGTCCTTGCCTTGGCCAAAGCTCCAACATGCATGAAGAAGTGACCTCAGATCCGCAAACCGTTCAGGGCAAAGGCGGCTCTCCGTTCTTGTTCTTCAACTAGGCTCTTACTCTATGCCTTGGCTAATCCTATTGCACTTGAGTCCATGGCTGCCAGCAATAGTCTTTGGCCGGCCAGTCGTGCCCGAGGTCATCATAAGGATGCAAATATCCTTCACGCGACTGACTACTGACTAGCCGCAGCCGTGCACAACCACAAGAAATAGCCAAGGAAACAAGGAAAATCCAGAACGTGTTCACCAAAGCAACTTGGTGAGAACCACTAGCTAAAGCTGCACTGGAACCCCAATAATTCCTATCAGCAAAAAGCAGCATGCACCGGTGAACAATGTGGGGCTTGCTGGATGTTTCCTGTTGCATGCTTGGGTACCTTTGGCATGAACACCACCGCTGTCTTGCTCTTTTCCATCATTATTTGCAATTTATCGTGCAAAAAATGAACGTTAAATTAACCTTCACTTTCTGGTTCCTACGACAGAGTGAGCCGCTCGTGTGGGGCGGTCTCAGCTAAGAGAGTGTGGTAGTGCATTCACTAGTTGACCCACACCCAGCACTACCCTTCTGATGTGTCACCCATCCTTGGACATGGGCAGTTTCCTTTCATGTCTCCAAATGAACACTGTCTTCAGCAGCCACGATAACGAAATCCCCGGGCATCTGTCAAGGGTTCTTCTCAATTCTTCTCATTTCCTGCTGGGCTGCACAATCACCTGCATTGTCTCTCACGTGAAGGAAGAAAAAAAAGGTCCGTTCATCCGAGAACGTTGCCGGAGTCTGCAACTGACTTTGAAGACGGAGTCTGGGCAGGCGAATAGGAAACATCAAAGCGGCCCAAAGACCAAGCCAGGGTTTGGTGCTGTGATGATGGCACAAATGGCAGGCTACACGTGCATTACTGACGCTGTAAGTCTGACGATGCAGGGACCGTGGTTGGGGGAAGGAGCTTTACATGGCATGGCCCATATGGGATGCACTCTCGGACATGAGAGAAGAGCTTGAATTGAGCTTCAGCCGGACTGAGTTTGACTCAGTTTGACACCTTGGCCGCTCATTCCGGCTCTAGTCACAGCCACGGGCCCGCAGAATGTCACCAAAATGGTACACAGCACTGACAACTGGTACAACAAGTACACCAGTGATACAACTGGCTCAAAAGTCTTTCATAGTCCTTGAGTCCTTGAGCCAAGTTTCTTATCAAAACACTGGTGGTCCGGTGGTCTGGCGTTGCATTAAAATCAAAGGACCGCTAGTTTGGCTAGGTCTGAAGGACTCTTCTTTACATTCTATAAGATATTATTTATGTATATATATACACATAAGTTGTTTCAATGGCATGCAATGGAGACTGAATGGTTGTTCAATGGTGATTTGCTAGGGGTCACATGTGAAACATATGGCCTTCCTGGGTGAAGCCTGCCAATGTGGGTGAATATCCCGGAATGCTTCAACTGCAATTGTTCCTTTGTCTCGATGGTGCCATTTGCAAACAACTGGTGAGATGTTGTATTTTCTTTCATTTAAAGCTACAATAAGTTCTCAGTTGAACCCTACTTTTTGTACAAAAGCCAATGATCAGCGGGAGCACTACATGGCTTGAATGAAAACACACACTTGTCTCAGAATCTCAACCCAAAACGATGCGGTCTGAACTTAAACAAACATTGCACTGTGTAAGTTCTAAATTACACCAGCATAGACCCATATAGCTAGGCAGAATCCCACGACCTGTTGACATGCGACTGGCTGGAGCAAGAATGTGCGCAGCCTGCACAAGGGGAATAACAACGTATGATCTTGTGCATATATGTTTATGCACACAAAAGTATGCGTGCAAGCAGCAAAGCCCGTAAGTGTCATTGGCCCAAGGCCAAGCAGTATCCAGTGCCACTATTGACTCTGTAGCATGCTTGAAGCAACGATCTGCAGGACGATAAGGCCGTATGACCTTGCGCGTAAAAGTTTATGTGCACAAAAGTATGCGCACAAACGGCAAAGCCCGTAGGCTTCACTCGCCCAAGGCCAAGCAGTATCCAGCACGACTATTGCGTGTGTTGCATGCTGAAACATGCTGGAACAATGGTCGGTTGAGAGCCTGACGCTGCGCATAGAACATTATACGTAGAAAAGTGCGCGCGCAAACAGTACAGCCCTTGACACAGCTGCCGGCCAAAACAGAACCTGAAGAGTGTAACTACCCCACAGCGCTAATAGACAAAAAACGCTCAAGCGACAACACCGTATGATGTTGCGTGCATAAGTTCATGCGGCCCATGACTGCTGGCACTTTATTGTCAGAAGCGGCGCTTGGTCACCCTTCACTGCTGCAAGCGGCGGTTTGTTACCCTTCACTGTCAGAAGCGGCGGTTGTTATCACTTCACTGTCAGAAGCGGGCACCAGCACCGACGCCCGGCACCAGCACCAGCAACCTGTCTCCACCACGTGCACAGCCCAGCAACCTGTCCACACCCCACGTGCACAGCCAGCTCACAGCACCACCACCAGCACCGGCACCCGGACCAGCACCAGCAACCTGTCTCCACCATGTGCACACCCAGCTCACAGCACCAGCACCGGCGCCCAGCACCAGCACCAGCACCAGCAACCTGCCTTCACCACGTGCACAGCACCAGCACCCTGCACCAGCACCAGCACCAACAACCTGTCTCCACCACGTGCACAGCCAGCTCACAGCACCAACACCGGCACCAGCACCAGTAACCTGTCTCCACCGCAGGCACAGCCAGCTCACAGCACCAGCACCAGCACCGGGCAACTCATTGTTTTTTGAAGTAAGAACCCCATAGCTTCGCTATCTGGGGAAAAACACTTCAAGTCTTTCCTAAAGAAAAAACTCCTGGCACGGCAAAACCTAAGCTACAAATTCCTCAGCTCCTCTTGATGTGAAAATCAAAGACCACCCATGGATCATATGTGCAAGAACACTGCCTGTGAACAGGGTACCTCTACACGCCCAAGTACATGTTTAAGCCTGTGAGTGAAGATACAGATACCTGATTGATGAAATGACCAGGTGTGTGAAAACATTCCTTAAAATCTGGCTCTGACTTCCTTTCCTTCCTTGGCAGACCTGGTGACCTGGCCAGATGTGTGTGATAGATAGAGAAGTAAGTCCAGAGCGGAAGCAAACAAACATCCAGAATCAAGCACCCAAACAACGGAGGAACTGCCCAGCCAAGCCCTGGCCAAAATAATGAAGTGCCAGAACCAACATACAAGATCATGAAGCTTGAGAATGGTAGGAATGGTAGAAAACAACATGTCAGTATTAACCCATCCTTTTTGTAACCTCAATTTTCTTTGAAACGAATTACAACATGAACGACCTCTTGCGTGGCAGTCGCATAGAAACTGATGTACAGCACTGGCGTACAGAACTAGTCTGTACAATACTTGAATCAAACAATTTTGTTTGGTGAAGCAAGGAATGGGGCAAAGCCCGGCAAAGGAACTGAAGCCAAGGAATGGGTGCAAAAACTGAGCGGGGGCGCAAGCCCAAACCACATATCAAGCTGTCAAACCCACGACAGCCGAAGGGACACTGGATTCTTGGAATACAAAGCAAGTCCGAGAAACCCACCTTAAAATTCCCGGTACGTAGTGAAGCCCTTTTTGACCTTTATACAAACACTATAGTCACTGAGCTATCACTAGATGTGTCATGGATGTCTTAGGTAGTTTTTTTGTAACTTCCCAGTCAAAATGTGTTTGCCCAGCTCCTCCAGCGCAGGTCTGAGGGTGGTGCCCGGGAAGCCTGGCGTAACTTGCAGGACTCCAGCACGTAGAGGTCAACATGCAGAAAAACAATACAGTATATAAATATATATATATACCAAGTGTCTAGCCTTCCTTGTTTCATCCCTTCTTATGACTTCCTTGACACTAGCGTTTCTTTACTGACATTAAAAATGGGAAGTGCTCCCCGTATGTCCTGTTCTACACCGGTTCGTTAAGCGACGCGGGCACCACGCAAACTGCGGCCTCTGGTTCCTTGCAAACGGTTCACCCAGTCACTATTCATCTCAAATGTCCTGGCACAGCACTGAAAAGCATAAAGTGGTATTCTCGGCTACCATGGTCAAAGCTTCACACGCACCCTACTTGCAAATGCTTGACGCACACACTTGAAAGCCCACTGAGGACAGGAATGTCTCAGCCAGGACATCTAGACCTTTCTTGCTGCGATCAAAGCAAAATGCTGCATTGGTTGTGATTAGGGTGATGCTGGAAAAAAGAAAGTTACGATCAAGGTAATGAATCCGCTTACAACCAACCGTAACATGGTTAAGTCACAATGAAGCAGAGCAGGAGCCCACCAGACAGCTAGTTCAAACAGCTTCAGAAGAGCACCTTTTATCGCAGGTACGTTTTCTTCTTTCGGCACTATGTGAGAGTGTGGGGGGGAAGCGCGAAAACCTGCAGGCTGATATGCAACCTTCTCCAGCAAATTAATTTGATTTGAACGAAAGTTCGCGCCGGACAAGATTTCAACCACATCAGCAAGACCTCACATTATTAGTACCCAC